ATGTATGGTTTCGCACGCGAGCTGTTCCTTCACTCTGTTGACGATGAATTCATCTGCAGTATATGGTAGGTATATACAGAGGATCATACTTCATAGTTTATTTTCCATTGCATTTACACCAGTTTAGTTTATTAGTTAAAGTGGTTTTTAACGTCGGTTTTGCCACTAGGTGTGCTCGATTAAACACTGGTTCTTTGTGTCGTGTACTAGTCACGCCGCAACGATTCCTCCTCCTCAGATAATAAAAACAACTACACAAAGATGGGGTGATATGGCGACAGCGACAGAGAAAAACCCAAATACAATAGTAGAATACCGACTGTGAAATACAAATACTTGTATTCTGGGTAGAATGTATTTGACTGTGAAATATATCTTTAAGTACTTGAGAGGGTTCAATTTATATATTTCGTTTAATATTTTGACGCATGTGCCTTAATATATTCATTGTTCAGCCATGGAGTTTTCAAGCAGCCCATGACCTGCCAAGATGGCCATTCATTTTGCAAAGACTGCATTACACAGTGGCAGCGAGTCAACACCCATTGCCCTGTGGACAGGTCCACTCTTGATCGACCGTTGGTTAGAAATCTCGCTGTGGAAGGTTCTATTGGTCGAAAGCTGATGAAATGCCCATCAACAGTCTCTCTTCCAGGAGGATGCAGCTGGACAGGCTTAGCATCTGCTGTAGAGCAACATCTCCCTTCCTGCGATATGAATGTTGTGGAATGCAAATTTAAAGTCAGGGGCTGTATTTTTCGGGCATATCAGCGTGAGATTGCTCAGCACCTCCTTGTTTGCCCCCATAGGACAGTTAGTTGCCTGTCCTGTGCTCGAGACATCCCACACAGTGATCTGTCAGCCCATGATGAAGAGTGCATTGGCAAACTTGTATCTTGTCCAAATGACTGTGGCGTTGAAGTTGCGAGGTACATTTGCATTGTTCATTCATTGTTTACGGATAAGGTAACCCTGTGTATCATAAGTTAAGGGTGACGTGAAATAGTTTGTGGTTGTTGGCCCCAGAAGAGATTACAAAAAGTAGTAATTAGTACCAGTGCCTGCTTGCTGCACAGGCTAGTACCCCTCCCTCTTTCTTAATGTATTGAAAGAAATATTTTTCATGTCTGATCAAGAACTAGAATATTCACTAGGGTATCTAAAAGATAGTAATGCTGCGGCACATTCTGTTGATACTGGCATTAGTTAGGCAGTGGGACTTAAAAGAATCGAAAATGACATTAAATGTCCTATTTACATGTTGGAAAGTACTAGAATAATTACTATCAGTCTATAGAAAGAACTCGTGGGAACGTTGTTTAGAAAATGATCAAGTGGTTATCAACTCTGGTTTTCCCACAGTAAATTGTAGGAAATGATAGAAATTCAGATTGTTTATCCATATATTTAATATATGGTGTACTATCATTTCTCTGGAAACACGATACTTTTCTTGCTGTTTATTGCACTTTATTAAGTAACAGTTATTTAGCTATACATTTATGGAAAACAACAACACAAAAAACGGAAAAAAAAAAAAAAAAAAAAAAAAAAAGTTCGGTAGGATTCGAACCCAGCACCATCGACTCGACGCGACTACACCTAACCACTACACCACAGGGTCTGATTAAGTAATCTTGGGAAAAGTCTTTAATTTAACGCGTTTTGCATGAAACTTCCGCCGGCAAGATGATCGCCAGCCGCATTAATCGAGCTATTAACAGTAAAATACAATGTAAACGCATATTCCATGGCAATGAATGAATGAAAGAACATAATAATGCTTTTCAAAACGCCGATACACGTCCTCGTCTGCAACGTAGGACAAAACATGTTTTGTTATCTCGATTTCCGCTGTTATTTTGAAGCGAATGGTCAAAATCACATCCATTTTCGGCTCATACAGGTTCTTAAGAATAGCATGGCATGACATTTTCTCACTTTCACATCTAGCAAGCTGGAATTTGTATATCCCCCGTGTTGCGGAGTCGAAAAGCAAATACTCATCTTCTCGTCTGGTTTAACACCTGGACGAGTCAAAGGCTCTTGAATTGAAATCCAATCCCCAAGTTAACCATTGTACTCATCTGAAAGACTCCTGCGTGTCTTAAATTTGGTAAGACCTCTAACCGCACTGTAGAAAATTTGCTACAACGAAAACTCTGAGTCTGGGCAGCGAACGATGCGAACTTCCCCGTGTTATTATTTGACTTGTTCCTGGCGCAATGCACTCTGGTTAAATGCAATGCATTGTGGTAAAAAGTGTGGTTAAATGCAATGCATTGTGGTAAAAAGTGATGAATTCGAGAATTCGTTGCCCCTATATATATTTCCTTTAAATCCTGATTATGTTGCTGCTCGCTCCCTGCGGTCGCTCCGCAGCAATTACAAATTTCTAGAAAACAATGTGCTTTTTGTTGTGATTCTCAACTAGGTGCAAGATGTTGTCACACTTGGCATTTTCATGTGACAAGGAGGGCCGGCCATGTCCACTGTACACTGTAGGATGCACAAAGGTTCACTCTTTAGCAGAGTCAGATCCTGGAGAACATGTTAAATTGCTGCTAACCGCTCGTCTATCAGGAGCATACGCTGTAAGTAACTTTTTTTCTATAGTTACATGTGAAGTTTAATACTAACTCTTGAAGCATGTTCTTTCTTCTAGAATATACTTACAAATCTCAAGAATTGCCATACGATAACTATTTCTTATTTTTAGATGTTGTATAATCTTTGGGTGTGTGTATTGTAGTTTGTTATATTTATATTTATTTTTATTATTTTATTGTTAAGAAGAGAGTTTTTGGAGTTTCATTCACTCCAATTATCTAGGTATTTAGTCATTCATCTATTTCATTCTTTAAAGTTTATTTTCCTTTTTTTCTAATGCATGTTGTGCACCTTTTTTGTCTTTTTAGGCTTCTGATGCAGGCTTAAAATGGTATTTCCTTTGGTGGGTCATGGAAAATAGAAGGCGATGTGGTATTGCCCATTTGTAGCCCATTGTTTGAAGGTCATGCTGCTGTGGTCAGAATGGAAATTTTAAAAGAGAGTGGTATTTCCTTCAAGTTTCAGCTGGAGTCAAAGTTGCAGCTGCCCAGTTTTGCCATTGATTTAAGGTGGGTCAGTAGCCTTGAAATCTTATCGCTTTCTTTAAGAAGTGTTTACATAGAGATTTTTGCTTATATTAATAGCCTCAAAGTTTGGATGGACTGTATTTCTTGCTTTGTTTTTAGTATTTGTTTTATATTCCAGTAATATTATATTTATTGTCATTTTTCAACAACAGGTGCTGTTTCCGTTCTGGGACTGAGAAAGTAAAGTTTAAAACTCCTACACGTCTAATGTGCCAAGACACAACTGCATGTGTTGAAATACATAATGTTTGCTCAGAGGATGTTTTTGTCCAGCTGATGAGAAGTAACATTTTTTTCGTGGATTTTCTGCTGACCCTGTCTGTTTGATGCTCTGTTTCATACAGAGTTTCAATTCTGAGAAGATAGAAGGGATAGGTGGCTTTTAGCTGACTCCTGATTTTCACATGTTGTGAATTCAGTTGAGTTTTGCAGCTAATGACCTTTCCTTATTTCTCCAAATTATGTATGGTAGTTGCTGACTCCTGTTCTGTGCAAATAAAAAATGTTTGCCTCTTCAGTTGAGTAGTAATTATTGCAGCATTCACCATTTAACAATTCTTCCTCAAGTCCGAATTGGATCTGAGTCGATAGCCCATGAGGCTGACGGCCTGATGGGCTATTGGCTCAGGGGCCATGAGGGCGAGAGGAATAATAACGATTATTGTTTTAGTAAAATCCAACTAGTTTGCCAAAAATATCGGGACAAAACAACTTTAGCAAGATAACGCTACACTTAAATACTTTTTTGCTGCCAAGAAGCCGCCGCTTTTGGCTACTAGTGAGCTTTAACTTATAGCCTAGTAGTAGGTCAAACAATCAGAATGCAGCATTGATAATAGACTACTACTTGGTTTTTACTAATTATTAATAGCCAGGTTACACCTTGTCAACTCTAGTTAGACTCTATAGAAAGCTCTTGTGGATTAAGTGTGTCACTGAGATGTCCATTTGAAATCATCTGCTAAAGGCAGAGAGACACAGATTAATCTTCTTTTTGTGGCTTTGGGGTGGGGGTGCTGGTGGTGGTGGTTGCATCGTACATGTTTGTACATTTATACCTGGTATATAATCATCATGTCAGTTGACTTTTTTTGTTTGTTTTTTGTTATCTTGGATATTGTTATCCATGTTGATTTTGCTTTGGGTTATTATATCAAACAAATTAATGGCCATATCACCAGTCAAAATACAATTGGCAGTGTTTGAGTGAACAAAATTTAGCTACAAAGGAATATTTTTGCAGAACAAGAGGAGTGACATTTGAGTCCATTGAAGTACTGGAATGCTATACAAATTGTATATACAGAATGCTTGTCATGTGAAAGGATTCTAGGCATATAATTGTAGTTGCATTCCTTCTTTTGGTAATGTAGTATCATTTTTAGAAATTTATCTTACAGTTGTACCTTGTTTCAATACACATGTCTCTAATCTTTGTATATCTGAAAAGTTTGGCCTTCGTAGGATGGGCCTTTAAGAGCTTGAGCCATGGTTCCTACCCAGATTTCCTGCTTAAATTTTTTTCCACTGGGTTTTTTCCAGCAGGTTTTTTTGGCCTCCGTTCTGACAGTAATGTTGTTTGTAAACTGTCGCTCAGCTCTTCTTTAGGTTATGTACCATATAGTTGATATTAATTATTGACAACAACAACAACAACATCTTTCATTTAAACACGATGGGTTTTAAAGCTAATGTAGCTTATGGGGCTGTGTAAAAAATGTTAATAAAATAATAAAAATTATATTTAAATAAAAAATTTGAATGTGGTCAATAAAAGGCGAGATATGTACAATAAAAGATATGAATAGAATCGATAAAATACGAAATCGCTTAGACGTTTTAGACGTTATTAGAAGTTTCAGTATGACATATTCTTTAAAGTCAATACAGTTCCCAGTTTGTGCTCAAAAACTCAGCCATGTGCTACAACAGTTAGGACAAAAGTCAACCTTGATAATCTATGCTAGTGAACTCGACTCCAACCAGCCATTATTACCTTTTTGCTCAAATGTGTTCACGTCTTGCAGTTAACAGTAAAACTCTTTCATATATTCTTTTATATGTATGATAAATATATGTTATTCACCGGCTGGTAGGTCCGTATTGGGAGAAACTGTGCCCGAGGTCTTGAGTACCCAGACCGGTACTCAGACCGAGGGCACAGTTTCTCCCAATACGGACCGATCTAGGCCGGTGAAGAACATTTTTTATTTTTTTTCCAACTGAGATTTAAAAGTTTCAGGAAATTTTTCCTGCACTCTCCAACCTATGTGCAGTTATAAAAGTGGTACGCGTTCGTGTTGATGAAGCGCGCGATCGATTGCAAACCAAAACAAAACATCATGATTTTTAGCTCGGTAATTTTAATATATTATGGCACTTACTGCTCTCTTTAAGAATGAAGAAAAGTTTTTGTGTCTTGCTAGACAGTTCTTTATCTGAGTGTCAAACAAGGATAAAAGAATTGACGAACTTAAAAGCCACAGGAAAGAAAATACAGCAAAGGTTTTCTTCGTCTGAATATTTACTTTAAAAGATTAATAATTCAATTGAGCGTGATAAAAACTGTACAAAGGCTTTATAAAAAGAGCTAATTTAACATACCAATCTTAGGGTTTTGAAGTGAATTCGAATAAAAGGAGGCGATGTGCGTAACTAAACAATTATATAAACAAAGAACTAAAAAGTGCGATAACTGACGGCTGGAAAAGTCGTTCGTGTGGTTTATGCAAGATTGAAAGCTTCATGAAATCGTTGACAACAACCTTTTCTGAAAAGTAGAAAACTAGCGAGGCAAACTTGAATTCAATGAAAAACGGCAGAATCTAGATTCAGACAGCAAAACTGGAAAACAAACCTACACTCCGAGGAAAAATGTCGAATAAACGGTGCATGAGAGCCAGATTGCAGTACTTACAGCGTAGGTTATAAAGCTAGTGAAGCGACATCGCGAGCTGCCTGTTTTGTTTTACTTTAGCGGTTTTCCTGGCTCACTTGCTTGATTCTCCTTTCAGATGTTTTGTCAGAATAACAAAATTCACATTTCCCTAGCTAATGCTAATAATAGCGCAAGTTTTAAAAGAAAAATGGTTCTGAATGACCGGTTTTGCTCATTCACAAACAACAAACAAAATTGTGAATGAAGCTGCCACCAGGGCGAATAAAGGTTGGGTTGCTCGGACGCGCTCGTTTCACCGCCCAACCTTCATCCGCCCTGGCTGCCACTGAACGATTCCCCCCGGGTTAGCGGGCAAGATCGTACGAAAACCGCCCGCTCTCGGAGCCCATCAGATTGCAGGATTTGGAGGATTCCGGCCGCTCGCAAGCTTAGAAGAAAATAATTAGCCTTTCTTCGATAGCATGTGCAAATACAAACGAATATGCCTAGAAATTAATTCTTAAGACTTAATTTGTTGTTGCTTTGTCAGTTATCAGCTTGTTAAAGCTCCTATGTTTTTTACCTATTTTTATTTTTATAGTTTTATATTAGTTCAAAGTAATTAAAATTTTTCCATTTATTTTTATGGAAAAAACAAATGTGACATGGTCAAATACTGATTACAGCCTAGAAATTTTTGTTTTCATCCTGTTACTTTCATACGCTTTGACGGTTGTTTGTCAGCGTCAAAATGTTACCCATATAAAGCTTGGCGCAGGAACCTATCAGGTATTTCTCCTACCAGGAATGTAGCTTTCCTGTACGCACGCACATACTCCTATGCATACAGCTGAAATCTGGACTAAAAAATTATTATTTTTTTTTCGCGAAAGCATTTTTATCATTGAATCGGGATAAAAATTTCGCATTATACTGGTGTTTTTGTCATAAGATTTCCTTTATCCTTTTACTGACTAAAAGGAGTGAAATTAAATTGGAGAGAGATCAGAATGTGAAGCCACAGACCTTAGTTGAGACCTTTCACCAAGCGTACTCCAATTCTAGAAAAATATGAAACGGCAAACTGATCCTTACGGCAGGGCGATGAAGAAGTAAACAAAAGAATCCAGTTCAAAAAATATATATATTTAAACAATTGGAAAAGTTCGTTACAAATTTGTTACAAATACATTTTGTAACGCACTGTTTGTTTTATTTCCATTTCTCTTTTAGCCCCCGAAGAAGGTTTGTTTTCAACCAGGAATACTGGGCAATTATGTAAATACATTTTTTTGTTGTTGTTTTATTCTTTTGTTTACTTCTTCATCGCCCAGTCGTAAGAATCAGTTTGCCTTTTCATATTTTTCTACAAGTTCAATTGTACTGATCCACCACGCATTTTTTTTTTCTGCATGTGGACTTGCTGACATGTTATATATTTTGGATACTCCAATTCTACCCCGGAGTATTTGTATCTCTCATACGGCTTTGGTGACTTATCTTCTGCACAGCTGAGCATAGCTTCAGCGGTATGGAGAGACTGCAAACTCTCTTGCAATTCTCCATATGAGCAGAAGGACGTAGTTGATATTGATGGTATTATAACAGAGTTTGCCCGTCTGAAGGGAACACGTCTAGAGCTGGCCCCCCTGGTACGCAATACACGATGGGTCCCCTAGTCCTCAAATAAAAGACCACCCCACTAGTTTAGAAGGGAACTGAATTTGAAAAAAAGAACCATGCCTCAATTTCCTTGAGCCGTTTGGGAGTTATATCAAACGTTAGTTAGTTGGGGAGACTGGTTATGAAGGTCGGTAAACGTCACTGCGCGAAACAATATGGCCGCCTCTGGTGATGAACGTACCTCTACTAATCATAACCATGATCAAACTGGGCCTGTATCCTGTATTACACTGACAGACTGTATGTCTGTAAAAGTCGTAAAGCTCTATCTTAGTAGTTATGTTAGTGTACAAACAATCAA